TATATATATATATATATATATATATATATATATATATTGTTAAAAGAAAAAGAAAAAAGAAAGAAAGGGTAATTTGGTCTTTTTATATGGACCAAGGACCAACAGTACAGTTTTCACAAACCACAGAGATGTAACCTACCAAATTTTAAACTTAGGGACCAAAACTGAGAATTCGACCAAACCATAGGGACCATTTCTGTTCTTAAAAAGTTATTTTTATGTTGTAATTTATCCCCCAAACTTTTTGATTTACGTAAACACTTCCAAAAAATATTCTTAGAAAGTTATTTTTATTTTGTAATTTGTCCCCCAAATTTTTTGATTTAATAAATAAAAACATATAGATAAATAGTATAAGTCTATTCAATTTATCTATGAGTAATCAATTGAGTAGTCTTTGGACCCAATGTTTTATGTTCGTGACCTAAAAGTTGTATATTTTGCCATATGCAGATTGCTAAGTAAAGGGCAATAGATTTTTCCTTTTTGTTGTATCATGACTCCGGTTTAAAGTTTGCATCTAGTTCGAAGGTGAAAACTTCGCCTTTTGGTTGAGTTCTTGTAAAACTTTGATTCTCAATGAATATGTAACACAATTTTATTTTTACCTTTTTACATACGAATTTGGTTAGATACCAATACATTTTGCACCTATTTTTGTGGGTTTTTATTAAAATTAAACATATAAGTTGTGGTTGAGTTTTTAGAAGGACGATCCATGAACACTCTAAACTACTTCTAATTTGACTATCATAGGAAGATAATGTTTTCATTTCTGTTTTTTATTCATCAATGTAAAAAACAAGGTAATTTATGTTTATATCCTTATTTTAAATAAAGAGAACGAATCATGATGAAAAATATAAAAGGTCTAATCGTATCGTTTTTAAGTGGATGAATAAAAAGTATAAATGAAAATATTAACTACCATATCGAAGGTTAAGGACTTAAAAGAACTTTTTGGTCTTACACATTTTTTGCATAAATTTCTGAATGCGATTTTGTAACTTCTGTAACTAGGGATGAGCATATGGACCGGCGAACCAGTCCCGGAACCGGAACCCGATGGAACCGGTCGGGCCGGGACCGATACTATAATTTCGTCAATTTTTGGAACCGGGACCCGGTAAGAACCAGTCGTTGGAACCGGCCCAAAACCGGAACCAGACCGGATAATCTTTAAAAAAAACCCATGCCTTTTTTAGCCGTTTGGACTTCTGATTTGGAATTGGACGTAAACAAAAAAAGTGATCGTCGACATAGATAAAAAAAATAGCGATCTTCAAAAAAAAACCCACGGTCGAATTTGTAATTTTGTGAAATAAATTAGTTCTTTGAAGTTGTTTTGTCAGAATTTCAAAATGATAATTTCTCATTCAGTTGATCCATTCAACAACTTTACGAAACAATTTCAAAATATTCTAAGCCTTTCAAACATTCAAGATTTTATATCATTTAAGCATCTTAAAGTGAATCATTTACTTTCAACCAAATAGCCTCTAATTCAATCTTAAATGATAGTGCACACCACAAATATGTACTAAACAAAAACCCGAACACTTTTACAAAATTATAAACAAAATCTATAGACCATTCATGAAACAATTAGTGCACACAAATATGTACTAAACAAAAACCGACAAAAACCGGGCATAAACCGAAACAGTAACCCAAAAATACGCTGTTATTTCTCGAAGACCGGTTCCAAAATCGAAAACCCGGAAAAAACCGGACCCGGAACCGGTAGAACCGCCGGGCCAGTTCGATTCTTGATTTTGGCTGCAGCCGGTTCCCTGGTCGGGCCGGTTCGGTCCGTTTGCTCATCCCTATCTGTGACTATAAAAAGTTTTGTAAAGACAAATTGCAAAAATGGTCCCTTGCCAATTTCTTTGGCTAAGTTCCAAAAAAAAGTTTATTAGGAAAAAAAGATCATTATTTGATGGTTTAGTTGTGGTTTTGGTCCCTATTTCGTTAACTTTAACATTTTGCTGTTAATTTTTTTAAAATGACAATTTTACCCTCAGGGACTATTTTTGCAGTTATCTCTTTTTATCAAATTACAAGGACCATTTCTGCAATTCTTCTTTTTAAACTTATTAAATTATTATATATTAATTATTTTTTCTTTTTAATTTTATTGAACTATTATACATTAATTCTTTTTATAATTTTTTATCTGATTATTATATATCAGTTAATTTTATTTTTAATATTTATATATTAATAAATATTATATTAGTATATTATAAATTTCTTTTAACTATTTTTAATTTTTTTTATTGGATTATTTTATTTAAAAAAATTTATTAGGTTCTTTTATTTGATTATTACATTTAATTTATTATATGCTATATATAATAAATAATATTTTAGTGGATCATTAATTTTTTTTAAATGTATACTATTAATTTTTTTTAATTTATTGGTTCTACCACAAAGTCTTCGGAATACACAAAAGCACCGCATCCCATTGTCGAAAATCGTCGAGACCACCGCTAATCACCTTCATCGGAGGTCCGACAGAAACACTACCAACCTGTTTCACCCAACGCCGCTATCCAGTACCCACCTGCGAAAACCTCTTCACAATCCGTCAGAATCCTTTATATTTGCCACTAAGCCGATCGTTTTCCACTAGAACCATTACTATTTGAACCACCAAGAAGTCCAACCCAAACACCCCTGTCAGTTCCTCCATTTGTTTCCTTTTACCAGCTTACGCCACAACTACCTGGTTAGCTCCTCCATTCGTTGCCTTCCACAACCCATGCACAACCTTATAACATCGAAGCTTCAAGCCTGCACTACCTGAAAAGATCTAGCGGTGGATCTGGTGGTTTGAAAATCCTATATCTAACATTGTCGCCATTGTGACAGTATGGGTAGTCAATTGGTGTAGTTTGGTTGAGAATGACAGATTGTAGGCAACGATGGACGATTTCCGACAAGATGAAGTGGCGGCGCAAGGTGGTAGAAAGCAACAAATTGAGGAACTGACCATAGGTGTTTGGATCAGACCTCCTGGTGGTTAACACAGTATTGGTTGTAACAAAAAACATCCGAATTAACACATTATTGGTTGCCACTAAGTCGGTCGTTTTTCTGTTACAATCAATATTGTGTTAAGGAGGTCCGATCCAAACACCCCTGGTCAGTTCCTCAATTCGTTGTTTTCTACTACCTTGCGCCGCTACATCATCTTGTCGGAAATCGTCGATCGTTGCCTACAATCCGTCATTCTCAACCAAAACTACACCAATTGACTACCCACACTGTCGTCAATGGCGACAATGTTAGATATTGGGTTTTTCAAACCACCAGATCCACCGCTAAATCTTTTCAGATAGTGCAGACTTGAAGCTTTGATGTTATAAGGTTGTGCATGGGTTTTGTGGAAGGCAACAAATGGAGGAACTGACCAGGTAGTATGATTTTGTGGCATAAGCTGGTAAAATGCAACAAATGGAGGAACTGACAGGGGTGTTTGGGTTGGACTTCTTGGTGGTTCAAATAGTGATGGTTCTAGTGGAAAAAGATCGGCTTAGTGGCAAATATAAAGGATTCTGACGGATTATGAAGAGGTTGTCGCAGGTGGCTACTGGATAGCGGCGTTGGGTGAAATAGGTTGGTAGTGTTTCTGTCGGACCTCCGATAAAGGTGATTAGCAGTGGTCCTGACGAGTTTCGACAATGGGATGTGGTGCTTTTGCGTATTCCGAAGACTTTGTGGTAGAACCAATAAATTAAAAAGAATTAATAATATACATTTAAAAAAAATTAATGATCCACTAAAATATTATTTATTATATATAGAATATAATAAATTAAATGTAATAATCCAATAAAAAAATCTAATAACTTTAAAAAAAATAATCCAATAAAATAATTTAAAAAAATAGTTAAAAGAAATTAATAATAAAATAATATAATATTTATTAATATATAAATATTATATAGTAAAAATAGAATTAACTGATATATAATAATCAGATAAAAAATTAATCCAATAAAAATAAAATTAAAAAAAAATTTAATGTATAATAATTCAATAAAATTAAAAAGAAAGAAGAATTAATATATAATAATTTAATAAATTTAGAAAGAAGAATTGCAGAAATGGTCCTTGTAATCTGGTAAAAAAGATAACTGCAAAAATGGTTTCTGAGGGTAAAATTGTTATTTTAAAAAAGTTAACAACAAAATGTTAAAGTTAACGAAATAGGGACCAAAACCACAGCTAAACCATCAAATAAGGACATTTTTTACTAATAAACTTTTTTTTGGACCTTACCCAAATAAATTGGCAAACCACAGGGACCATTTTTACAATTTTGTCTTTTGTAAACCTTATCCATTTTATGGATATCATTAGTATAAATATGAATTCTATTCCCCTTTTTGATATTCCGAAGATTTGGAACAACTTAATTACGAATCCAGTTTTAGTTTAACTTATTACGCTTAAGATTTTAAGTGTCCTGTTGTACAAGTATCTTGCAAAATTATCTGGGGATTCCTAGATAGAAGAAACAATTTTTTTTAAGGAAAATGATAACAAGATCTTACAGCTATCCAAAAAATTAACCATCAACTTTCTTTTTTCACCCAAATTTCCAACAAATAATTCATCTTTATCAAAATTCAAATTTCACCTAAGACAATATCACCTATTAATGTGATATTTATTTAATTTATGTTTCGGTCATAATCTAGTAAACAATTACAGCAAATTCTTTTCTATGTATATGTGTATATACAATGAAACGAATTAGAAAAGCTGTATTTATTTGTTTATTAAACCTGAATTTTGTTTACTAAAATATTTTAATAGAACGTTACAAGATTTTTAAAACACAAACTATCTATTGATATTTATATCTGTTTTCAAACAAAACTTATCTATCTATTATTATTTACCAAAAGTTATACTCGAACACCGTAGGGTCACGTCATTTGAAGTTTAATTGAGAACATCTGTGATAGTATGTAAAAATTAATTATGAAAGCAATATTTATTAATAATTAAGTGTTGCACCCCGCAGGATACAACAAAAACTACATAAAAGATTATAAGTGTAATTTGTTTTGAAATTCGATGAAGTTTAATAGTTTATGATATAGGTTTAACAGAAAATGATATACAATTTATTAAATTATTGTCGATTTAAAAGTCCTAGTAACTTCATATCTCATTAGTATGATATACGAAAAATGTACTCTATAACAACATAAAGAAAATATAATTTGTCGAATTGAAACAAATTTATATTATTATGTAGATCTTTTTTTTTTTGGAAACGACAAATATATTAAAAAAAGGAGAAAACCTCAACTAGCAAGTAACTAGAAGAGGACCCAGAGCAACATACAAAAGAGTTAGACTATTACAAGCCAATAAAAGGGGACACTAACCACTCGTCCCAATTACAAATTACCTTTTTACCCCTATGTTTAAGCCAACAAAAAACCATAGTCTTAATACATTCAGTCCCTTGCATCAATGGGATACCTTCCTTTTGAAATAATCGTTTCTTCCGGAACCACCATAGATTCCATAACATTCCATAACATATGATAGCTAGCAGTTTCCTTTTCTTCGGACAACATCCCCATGCAACTATAACTTGAAGAATATCTCCAGCATTCCTTATTAAACTTTGATCAAGCGTTACACCACACCAGCTCATGATATTGCTCCTAATTCTGGACGCAAACGGGCAATCAATGAGAACATGGTCTACACTTTCCTGTTGTCCGATACACGCACTACACAACAGTGAGTTGACCTTAATACCCCTCATCTCCAAAGCAACGATTGCGGGTATTCTACCTTGTGCAGCTCTCCAAATGAAACATAACACCTTGATTGGGACCACCTTATACCACTGTATTGTCATTGTGCCCGTAGTAGTGATAGGGGGTTTGTCAATAACTTTTCTAACTGACCTAACAGTGTACGTACCGTCACCCGTTAACTTACATCTATAATGGTCATCTCCCAAAGTTAAACGAATACCAGAGATGTCATTGGTTAGTGCTTGCACAACTGGCCCTAATCCAAAATCAGGGGGGGTGAGACTTCCAATTCCAAGAGATGGCTGCTTCTGAAATTCTGTCAACAACATAACACTTTTTCCTGGTTTCCAGCTCAAATAGGTGAGGGTATTTGGCTTTTAAGCTCCCAGAACCTAACCATGATTCATACCAGAATAGAGTTTCATTTCCGCCCTTTACTACCTGTTTGAACACATCGTGAACTCCCAATCCGTACTTCAACAATTCCTCTTTAATACATCCAATGTTGATCCATACCTCACTGCCATTTTGCCGAGATAAGTAATCAAAGGGCTTATTCGACAAGTTGTGAATCCCGTGGATTACCCGAGCCCAAAGAGAGTTCTTCTCGTTTTTTAACCGCCATCACCATTTCATGAGTAGCCCAAAGTTTAAGGACTGTATAGATCCCACACCTAATCCACCATCACTTTTATCTACTAGGACTTTATCCCAAGCCACCCAATGTATCTTCTTACTGTCATCACATCCACCCTATAAAAAAGTTCTTCTAATTTTCTCCATCTCGTCTAATGCACCTTTCGGGGCCTTAAATAAGGATAAGTAGTAGGTGGGCAGATTACCAAGAACTGACTTTATTAACGTTAATCTACCACCAAACGAGAGGGTTTTGGCCTTCCAGAGAGAAAGTTTGGAATGAAATTTCTTAATTATGGGCTTCCAATTTCTTATAAGATTCATATTGGCTCCCACCGGAACCCCAAGGTAGTTGAAAGGGAGAACTCCAGCTTCACACCCCAACAAGCTTGCCCAATTCTCAGTTTCTTGCAAAGCAGCGCCAATACCAAAAACTCTTGATTTATGAAAGTTTACCTTGAGGCCCGATGATATATGAAAACATCTTAGAATTCGCGCAAGGTTTTTGAGATTAGCTCGAGACCACTCACCAATAGACAACGTATCGTCCGCATAGAATAAGTGAGATAAAGTTGGTCCATTTCCAGGGGTTTGTATCCCTTTGAAAATCCCCTTATCACAAGCAGATTTAAGAGCTACGTTTAAGCTCTCCATGGCAATAATAAATAAGTATGGTGAGAGATGATCCTCTTGCCTAACTCCTTTAGATATAGAGAATTCTTTCGTTGGAGAGCCATTAATGATAACAGATGCCCTCGATGAGTTCAAACACCCCCAAATCCACATCCTCCATTTGTTCCCAAACCCTATCTGTGCAAGGATCGAGTCTAAATATTATTATTTAGATAAACTGAGATGGTCTTAATGATATATTTAGATTTATACCAAGTATTACGTAATAAATGTTACGATAGAATCATAGAAATCACACTAAGCAACTTAAATTAATTATAAAAATAAAAAATAGAAAAATAATATTATAGTTTTTCTATCTCAATATTTTTAAGGCAGTTATTATATGACCATACAATATACTAGTCAATTGTCATTTCTTACATTTACAAGTATTTTGTTAATGTATGGCCATACAATATACCAGTTAATTGTCATTTTCTACATATACAAATATTCTGTTGTAAATGGACTAAACCCTCCTTCTTGCAAGTCACTTAATATATGTGTTCATCCATCTAGTATACCCTCCAAGGAACCAGATTCAATGTCTTAGCTAATAAATTATATATTTGGTTACTTCCGTCACCGAATGCCACCAGAACAAATTGATTAACACTACCTTTCAGAACATGATTAAAAACAAATTGTACTGTATTTGGAGGTATACTAGTTACTAAACTAAGAAAATAAATAGTATCATTATCGTTAATAATCTTCATAACTATGTTTGATTGTTTGATCCATGATATTGAAAAAACAAATGGATCTTATTATATGTAGCATATACTTCGAAACAACCAACTTAATAACCCAAAAAAGTTGATATCATTGATGAAATCTTCACCCTACCATTTGTAGTCTAAAGCAATATCGTTCACATTGTCCCCCACTACAAAAATGAACGAAACAATTTATATATCATGATTAAATCTAAAAGTTAGTTTTGTCCCTTATTTATCATACTTAAAAGACCATTTATATAATTTGACAATTGTAGAGAAACCATTTACAATGTTTACTATTCATCTTGTCAAATCACCATTGATATATGAAAAGTACATATAATTGGTTCATAATGTTATAAGAACCACTTTTATGTATGTTATTATTTGTGATGTCAAATCACCATTGATATATGTATAGTACATATAACTGGTCCATGATGCTATTGAGAAATGTAGCTTGCACACAAGAAAGTAATTGAGTTTGCCTAAGTCATTAAGGGAATAAGTTGAGTGCAATTAATGAATGAATCAAGTACGCAACAAAGATAGAAAAACTATCATTACTGATTAGAATGTGAAGTTTGTGAACAACCTAAAGTACTAGCACGTAACTAAGATGAGAACTTGAGAAGCAATATGATGCACAAGTAAGAAGTATTTAAGATGCTCCAAGCAATATAACTTCATAAACCATATGGGCACCGTGTATAATATTGTACCTACAACTTGCCTAATATAGTAATATTCTACCGACATGAATACACTACTGAAAGCACCAATCGAACCATATATAGCAGGCTTAACCAAATGATTACATGAGTGGATCATATAAGCATCAACGTCCTATAACATTTGCACTCAAGGATGGAAAATCCAATACTCATGTCCTTCTAGAAATAAATGCAGAAATCAAGCCAATCCAAACATATATCATGCATCTCAACCAATTAAGCTAAACATTAATTTTGGATTTCTATCAAAAGTCAAAACCGACACTGCAGATTCAAAATATGTGTCTTAAGTCTTAACCAAATGTGCTATAAGTAATTTATACTTCTATATATGAGAAATACATTATAAATATTAAGAAGTCGTCTGACTTTGTTTAAAATACTGTTTGAAGTAGAATATGAGAGTTTCCAAAAGCGGACAAGGGTCTAAGGACGTAAGGAAATGAATTTTGCAATGACTAATAATTGATGTTACCGGCAATTCAACCGACTGATGCAGCCAATAAACAGTTTTAAACAAGGTTTGTTTTAATTAAACTTATTCTAGGACCATTAAAGAGAGTTGATATTATGCTTAGATCCACAAAAATACCTATCTATTATTGTAACAAACCAAAGAGATTAAAAGTTTGACATTTAAACACAAGAGCTAGAATTTAATACGATGTTATGTTACAAGAGTCAAAAGATCGATAAAGTCCATCTAAGGGCACATGGCTTAGGTGAGGTCATTCTTCAATCTCCTACAACCAAAAGTTTTGTTTGTTGAAAGTCCTAAATGGACATATTGTGTATGAAATCTTCGCATAAAGTCCTACACCATGGCTTATAAAATAAAGCATGACATGCTTTGTTGAATTTTAGCCTATAATTAATATTTAAGCTAGTTACTGAACTGTCAAAATATAATGATCGAATAATTAATATTAATATTATTAAATATCTAGTCGTTATAACGTCGATAATTTCCGTCACAATATATAATAAACCTAATTATTATTATTATTATTATATTATTATTATTATTACTACTACTGACTTTGGTCTAAAAAACCAGAATAATCTTTCGTGATCGGATATGATTATAACAATTATAGAATAAAACTCTCTCCAGTTATTAGACTAATTAAAATACAAGATAGAAAAGTAAAACTAGCCTGGAGATTAGAGATTTCTAGACATGTAACTTCATGGAAAAACTCATGTCCTTAAAAGAATTTACACGCTCGAAATATTGTAACCGTCAACATAATCTCCCAAGATATTGTGCAGATTCTCGTTTGTTCCAATAGTTATGGAAGAACCGATAAACACAAAGTTATTATTTGTAAACAAGAAGAATGCAGAGATGCAAAGGGAGAGAGGATAACCAAGAGAAATATTTATTTTTAGTGTTTGGAACACGACTCCATGAGGGCTATGTTTATAGTCGTAGAAATCTTATAAGGCATTCCACAGAAAGTGACAACTGCATCCTCATCACGTTACACTATTTTTTACATGTTCTGACTCGGTCAAAAACTCTAGCTACGATACCTTGCTCTCCAACAACGCTTTCCCGGAGGCTTTTAGAGGCTTTTGCGAGCTTATCCGTTAAGTCAACATGTGGTCAACACATTGACCGAGTCGGTCAAACTCAATCCGACCCAAACCCTGCTAAAAATAAAAGTATAACACCCTATTTCTCATTAGTAATTATGTAAACGAGTTAAAATTTATAATTTTGGATAAAAATTCTAAAGAATTATATCGGTGAATAGAACGAATAAAATACATTCGATAAATCTTAAGTGATTAAATAATAAATAAATAAAATAACCTAAATAAAAATAAAATCAAATAACACTAAAAACAATAATGATAGATGTTATTAAATTTAAGGGCTGAAAGTGTCAAGCACCTCTTTAGTTTCTGAAGCATTTTCTTCTAGTTCTGCTATCATTTTCTTACTTTCTTCAAGTTGCCAACAAAGAACCTCTAGTTGTTCTTATTTCAGACTTATAACTTCGTGTTTCAGATCTAGTTTATCCTTGAATCCTTTAACTGTAACATCCCGATTTCCAGGTATGAGAATTTTATTCAAAAGGAAAGATTCCGTTGGAACTCGTCGAGTTGATGGCCTCAACTCGGCGTGTTGAAAGGCCTTGGGTCGCGCATCTTTTTGGACAAACTTGACGAGTTGGAGAGGAAAACTCGACGAGTTGGTGGTTGATTATGAAACCCTAATTTTTAGGGTGTTGCACCATATTTAAAGGCCTTAATTCCCATGAATGGCCTCCCTATTTGCCTCCTCTGTCCAGAAACCCTAAATTTCGTGCATCCTATCCCAAGTTGAGTGTGTGAGCTGGAATAGTTGGTCCTTTTGGTGTTCTTTTGAAGGAACTTGTGGTTGGAAGTGTCTAGATTGAAGGGAAGGCTTCAGATCCAGAAACTCTTTGAGTATTGCAGTTCTTTTGAGGTAAAAAGTCGACAACTTGCTTATCTATTGCTTAGATCTCTTCCTTGGAAGTTTATTGTCATATTTGGCTCATTTTTGGGATTGTTCATGGGTTGAGTATTTCA